GATTTCAGCAAATAATGTGGAATTGTTCAAGAAACTTTTGGACGATTTCTTAAGGGACCGTAATATACAGGGGTACAGGTACTCCTAGAATGAGATCCTAATAGGTTGGACTTGATGGACTAATGTTGGTGGAAAAAAAATTCCAGCACAAGGGGCGAAGGGGGTTCTTCACAGTAAGATCAGTTAGGGTCTGGAACTCACTGCCACAGGCGGTGATTTCAGCAAATAATGTGGAATTGTTCAAGAAACTTTTGGACGATTTCTTAAGGGACCGTAATATACAGGGGTACAGGTACTCCTAGAATGAGATCCTAATAGGTTGGACTTAATGGACTAATGTCTTTATTCAACCTCAAATACTATGTAACTATGTAAATGCAGTGCATCACAACGCATGGTAATACGTTGCCATGTGGTGTAGTATACTGCAACACATGTGTGTTTGCAAGGTACATTGGGGTGCCATTAACAATGAATGGCACCGTAGTTCATGAATAACAACATGAGTGCTCGTGTGCTGCGGCAGCAGTGAAATTACAATTACTTCTCTTTTTTTTTTAATAATTATTTTCTATTTTTTCTTAGTTAATTTTCTTCTACTGGGGGCTTTAGTAAAAAATCACTGATATTTCCCTTTTGAAATAGAGAAAGAAATTGAGGACACAAAGTGCTCAATCTTTTCTCTGCAGCCACAGTACTTAGCACACTAAACAGGAAGTTATCCGTACAGAGCACTTTCTATTCATTCACAAATCTAGAGATAGTAAACACAGCCATTCATGTTTACTATCTTTTGAATTATGAATGAACATTGGGGTGATCAGCACTGAAGATACCAGTGTCCATTCAAGACAGACAAAGAATCGGTAAATATGACAGACATAATTACAGACCCTCTGCTTGTTATCCTGAAAGATCTGATCTTCCCTTGTATATAAGTTGGCCAGCTCCTTGAAAAGGGTGCACTCCCTGTGTAACTGATATGCTGTTAAGCAGTTAGGCACAGTCATTGTAGTAGGTAATCTACCTAGACTCTAGGGACTCATCTACGTTTCTCTACAATTATTACAATGATATAATATGAAAGATCACGCATGTTGCAATGTGAAAGTCATAAAAAAAGTTACCATGATCTCTTTTCCTTTAAAAGGGCCCCTGGGAAAGATGAACATTCATACTTCCCTTTCTGTCATCCCTTTGATGAAAATCTACGGCTGTGGAAAACTCTTCAACATCTGAAAGACTAGACCCCACTGTGCGCTGTGGCTCAATCCGCAGGCTCTTATGTCACTACAGGACACAGTGCACAGAGGGATTCCAGCCATCTGACAAAAACGAAACTAGATTAAATGATGAAGGGTTTAGGTAGGTCTACTTTGGCCCTCCAGCTGTGGTGAAGCTACAAATCATATTAAGTATGGCAAGTCTCTGACAGCCACATACAAGACTTCCAGAGGCAGATGCATGATGGAATTTGTAGTTTCAGCACAGTTGGAGGGCCAAAGTTTTGCTACCCTTGGTCTATAACAAAGGGAGGATCCAAGTCAACACTCATCAGTATGAATACTCTCCTTTTAGAGAGACCCTTTAAAAAAATTCACAGGGAGAGGGTCTGTTTATGGTAAACACAGCAAAATGAATAGAAAACTAGTGCTCACTATAAATGATCTCACTGTTCTGTCTCTTTAAAATTGTTGCTGCAGTACTGCAGTATTTTGTCTCCATCTAGTGGAAGCAATACATAAAATACCACAAAGCTGCTGTTCACAATGGTGATCTACAGGCCTAATTCAGCAGTGGTTGAAATTTTCAGGAAGTGAAATACATTTCTTGTGTACTTTCACTTCATTTTGGGAACTATAAAATGATCAGACTTTATTCACAATAGTCTTTTGTTTTGGATCCACAATCCCTTCATGATATAACACATCAAGCAAACAAAGCCTAAAATAAATTTGTGTTAAAATAAATGTCTATAAATGTTCAAAGGTTTGCTATCGGGCTTCATTCATATGGGTCCTGACAATCAAAAACTTGCCCAGTGCTTTTCAATCACTAGCAGCATTAGTGCCTGTTTGGCAAGCGTTTACGGTGCTTCATGTGGGCTTTG